TGCTTTAATTAATAATACATTTTGAATAAAAAATAAATTGCTACTTTACCCTAATAATGTGATTTCATCTTACATGCTCAGAATGAATATCGGTTTAAAAAAAAACATTGGTCAAACCGATTATCGGTATCTACTTTGAAGTCTTCCTGTAAAAATGCAATATTCCTGTTGTGAACTCAATTCGATCAATGCCAATAACATCATCTTGCACTGAATGGTGAAAACAACACTTCAAATCATGCTGAGAGTCCAAGCCATGTCTGATGTATACCACATACATTGATTTGCAGGCTTTACGCAGTTTCCGTAAGTCTAGGTGCTCAGGTTTCTATCAGTCTGCTAAAAAAAATAAATGAGTAAAAATAATGAGTGCTTGCAAAGAAGAACTAGATGATCAGTGTGATTATTGTTATGAAAGCTTAAGCTAAAATGATTTAAAAAGTTTCAATTAATTGAAATAAAGCTGAAATAAAATAAGACAAATATTAGATGAAAAACGTAAACAAAAATATTACCTTGGCAACTATTTGAAATATCTGGTTTAATTTGCAATACTAAAATGACCATGAATTGAAATGAATTAAAACTATATATATATATATATATAGCTTCAATTTATTACAATTTTAGGCCTGGTAATTTTAATATTTCAAATTGTTTGTGAAACAAATCTGAAATAGTGCATATTCTTTAATCAATAAAGTTGGAGGATGTTAAAACGCTAGCTAGTTGCTTTCATAGGGCCGGTTATAAACAACATACAGAACTACCAAACTTTGCTATAAGTTTGATTGCATCATATAATAACTGCTGTAAATAGTGTTCATCATCTGTTTGATTACGTCTTTAATTGATTTTTCCGTACATTTCTGCCATATGTACATTAACTGACAGTCACCACTGATAAGCTACTACTAAATATTGTAGAAACTTAATTTTCTGTAAAGTTGCTTTGCAACGATTTGTATCGTAAAAAGCGCTATACAAATAAACTTGAATTGAATTGAACTGAATTACAAAATACAAGAGACTCCAGCGACTTTGGATCTTCCACATTACCCACGTGTTTCTCTTCACTGCCCACAGATGTTATCTCGGGCACAGGCGATTGATCTTCCCCGGGTAATTAGCATTTTCGGCAGAAAGGACAAGACACAGGCCTGCTGCCAGACGCTTGAGTCCAACTGAGAGAGAGAAACTTTGCTACGGTAGGCTTGGTGGTCCGAGTTTTACCCTGTGGGTTCAAAAAGTATCATCAAAACCTGCTCAACCCTACTAAACCTCACCAAAGGGGGACACTGAGGCACCATGGCAACCAGGCTGGCAAAAAAAAAATCTTTGCGGTCCTGTTATCAGATCAAAACGGCTGTGTGGACAGATGAAGGACTCGTGCTCTGCTGTGAATGCTGAGAAAATGTGCATGTTATGCCATCGAACTTGACTGAGACGGCAAACATTCACCACAACAAATGTGCAAATATTTACAAATAGGCATACACCACTCATGCGTACAGATGCAGGGAGATTAGTCGGATGTATTTGAGGAGTTTGATTAAACACAAAGAAGCACATGTACAGCATGAAGGGCAAGGTCACCTGGAGCTCACTGGGACTATTTATACCTCAAGAACCACAAAAATAGCTATACTGGCAAAGATGTTTAACAATAAACATCTAAGTTACGCATAATAATTAAATAATATGTAATTTATAAAAGGACAAAAAACATCCATATATTCATATATTTAGATATATACATATACACTACATTTAAATAATAAGGTTGGCAAGATTTTGTTTTTGTTTTTTATGTTTTTGAAAGAAGTCTCTTACGCTCACCAAGGCTGTATTTATTTGATCAAAAATACAGTCAATACAACAATATTGTGAAATATTATTACAATTTAAAATAACTTCTATTTTGATTTCTATTTTAAAATATTTTAAAATGTAATTTAAAATGACAAAGCTGAATTTTCAGCATCATTACTTAGTGTTTTACATAGTCTTCAGTGTCACATGATTCTTTTGAAATCATTCTAATGTTAATTTGCTACTTAAGAAACATTTATTATTATTATCAATATTGAAATAAAGTTGTGCTGCTTAATTTTTTTTTGCAGAATCCATGATTCCTAAAGTTTAAAAGAACAGCATTTATTTGAAATAGAAATCTTTTGTCAAGAAACATTTATTATTATTATCAATATTGAAATAAAGTTGTGCTGCTTAAATTTTTTTTGCAGAATCCATGATTCCTAAAGTTTAAAAGAACAGCATTTATTTGAAACAGAAATCTTTTGTATCATTATACATGTTTTTGCTGTCACTTTTGATCAATTTAATGCATCCTTGCGGAATAAAATTGTAATTTCTTTAATAAATAAATAAATACAAAATTGTACTGATTTCAAACTTTTAAATGGTAGTGTATTATATGTCTATTGGACATACACAAATTACACACAAATCTGTCAAGTTTACCACTCACTTGAAAAAAGTCATTTTGAAGTCCTCAGTAACTTTTGTTCTTTATCATTACTCTTTTTGGTAATGAGATTCCATTGATTTGGGCTCAGAGTCAAACTCCATTCCAGAGGGAATTAGCAGTCTGGATTGAAGTTTTGCGGTTGGACTCCAACAGGACTCAAGTTTAGCACATTTCTCAACAAACAC